TGCTCCACATTCAACATTTCAGGTGAGTGAAATGAGAATAACAAACAAAATCCCTAACAGATTCCTGATTACTTCACAATCGAAATAATCGATCCAAACAAATAATGCGGAAGTTTCAAAAAAAATTTGCAATTTATCAATTTACACCTACCAACTTCGCCGAACTCCTCCACGCTCATTGTTGGGAATCGTACCGCATTGAAGACATCACCCAGCACTTGTCGCTTCTTTTCTGGTGTCGGTGAGTTATCACCTTGACGTGCGCACTCCTTAAACAATCCAAATAATACAATCCAAATCGTTCACTAATAACCACACCAGAAACATTTTCAACCTTCATGATTTCACGCAACGTTTTCATCTCATCAATAACCACACCAGAAACATGATTCAAGTTTCAAACTCAAAGAAAACCAATAGGCAGAGCGACAAACCGCTTCAGCCCATGCGCATACGGCACGAAATATCATAATTTCATCGGATGGCGACAACTGCGACCGTTCCACAACTCTTTTCAGCGATTCTTTTGTCAATCTCGTCAACGCTGAAACCAATCAATCACCAACTACTACAAACTCACCAAACAACGATCTATTCAAAATATCTCAACATCACAATACATCCACTACAATGAGGCAAATCAATAGTTTCAAGCTTTCGCTAGCATCAAATTTTCACTATCTATTTTACATAAGCCACAAAAACGATTCCTAACACGAACAAAATCCTCTTGCCTAAAAACATTATCTGCTTAAAAGAATAATCTATTATCTTATCAATAAGGTTTGATAAGAAACTAACAATCAGCCGATAGAGCGCCGTCAGTTTCAGCATCGATCACCTCAAAACACTTTTCGATGAGTTGTTTCGAGCGGTGTTTATCGGCCTGCTCAATCAACGCGACCGCAACCGATGGACTTATATCGCCCAACAGCACAATGCACGCCTTCTCCAATTGTGGAATCTCGAATTTACGTGCTAAAATTCACGATGTGTAAATACTCTCGAACCTATTTCTTAATTTCCATTCTTCATGATGAATTGTAATCAAAAGATATGTGCTGACTAGCTAATAACCAGACCAGCACCCATCCACTATTTAACAAATTCTAAAGCAATGATTAACTACTCGTATGAGCCACCATTCACGAATCAAAATCTTCGAATCATTGGAATCAAACATCCTTTGGAGATACGATCACGGAACAAACTCCCGTTTGATGATTACCAAACATTATGAAACATTTTCATGATTCTTTTCTTTTTTAACGGAATGTAACGTGGAGTTCGAAGAAGGCTAAAATAAATTTCTAATGTTGCCAATGACATTTCAGGGTGACATAAGGTACGACGTGATCATTCAAACGGATATCACGCATGTGAGAAGACAATTGTTCAGATAGAAAAAATGTGAAAGCGTCTCACAATCACTACTAGCC